AGTTCATCTTTAAATTCAGTTGTTGCTTAGATAGTTGATGAAGTAACTGTTATTGACAGTATGCTAATTACTGTATACATACCCCAGCAATTGTTCTTCCTTCGCTGATTCTCCTTTAAACCATTTGACACAAGCCACAATGCCCTTTTTTGTATGAGCTGAGTCCAAATAGTACGTAACATTCTCACGTTTTATGGTCTGCGTATGTCCGGGCCAGTAACAGTTTTTTAGCCCTTCAGAACATTCGTTAAAAGTAGAAAAATTTATTGACAAAAAAGAAAAAGAAAAACAAATCATTGACAATCGAGCACCAGCTTTTTTATTTTGTCACAAGTTTAAACATTTAGACCATTCTATTGCACTTGAACAAGAAATAAAATAACACTATATATCCGCAATAAACATATTCTATTTTGAATTTCTTGATTAATTTTTTACAGTTATTCGATGTTGTTTGTGTATTTAATCACCTAATCTTTCATTTATGACAGACATGGAATGATATGCACAGTTGTACGTTCAGCAATCTACTATATCACCAAAGTCATGGCTTACCATGTATAAAGGTGCCAGGTAACGTAAATGCTGGAGCGGTCGGGACACTGCCATCTTGTATGCCTTGCCTAACTCACAAGATCATTTGTCCATGGTGATGAACATTAGTTTTTTGTAAAAAAAAAAGATTTGATGCCATGATGTGAGTACGTTCAAATTTCCTCAATAGCCCATCTACTAATGCTTCAAAATTGCTTGAATGATGTGATGTCACTTGGTGCTGGTCCCTGTCCTCATGGCCACCTTGCCAACTATGTTCCCATCAATATCGGTGGTTCCTCTGGAATTCACACTAGCACCCGATCTCCATGATAAAAATGTGTGCTAACTTCCTCGTATGTTTTGCCTTGTAAGTATATATGATCCCTTCAAAAATTGCTGTTACATTTATGTAGGTCGTCTGACATTTCACTAGCTGCGATGTTTACACATAACGTGCGCGCACACAAACAATAACAGTACGATTCACTGGGCCATTTGCATCTAAGTAAAACAAAATAATTATATATATTAAAAGAACAATGTAATGCAGCCTACATAAATGCTCGATACATGATAACATTAGAAACACTTAATTCATTTTACGATGTCAATAGATCCTGAAATTGCGTGCGAAAATCAAATGTCGGCACAAACTACCTACCCGCACTGCTCTGGATGGCCTCCACTTCAACAGTTTTTAGTATAATTTGTTACCTGACTTTTAACAAATTGTTTTTGTTACATTGTGATATCTTGAACTGTTCCATTTCCCTGTGTTCATTCTCAATCGTGTAGATTGCTGGGATTCGTTGTGTGGAATTTCTTTTGTGGATGGTTCATACGTAACCATTTACGGAATTCTAATAAGCGCATTCTTTAAGAATCATTTGACAGTGGCGGTGACAAAGGGGAGAAAAGAGGGCAGTCGACCCTCGAAAAAGACGTCGTCCCTCCGAAATTAAAGTGAAACACTTTGGGGAGCATGCCCCCGGACTCCCTAGTAAGGTCGCGCCTTCGGCGCAAGGTTGGTGAGCAGACCCCCCCCCCCCCCCGCCGTGCAAAATTTCGTGCCACCGCCTCTGTCATTTACAGAATACGATGTGTATTGTGGCCAGTGTGCATGAACAATACTAGGGTGGTCGTTTTGATTTGTTGTATTTAGGTACCTTGGATTACCTCTATCAGATTTTGTGACTTTATTATCAATTCTCCATTTTTAGCGAATATTTTGCCCAAAAAATGCTATTTTGATACTCGGTATAGTTTGTACCAAGTTGATATGAATTGAAATTGCCATAGCAACAGCCATATAAACTACCATGGCTGTGATTTAGAACATTATGGTAACAATAACCATGACAAATCACTAATATATCACCATTCAGAACAGTATCAACTTTATTTGAGGAAGACACTCTACAAGAAAATCATGGGATCGATTATTAAAGTAGAGGGTGATCAATACAAACTCTAAAGGGCAGATATACCGTGACTGTGCAAACTATTTTGTCCCCTTAACCTAGTTTTGAAATGTATTGTTTTAGATGCATATGTATGTGATTGTTAACTACTAATATCCAAAGAGCTGCTCATCTATTTCAATACAACTGTGTATGCAGCTTTATAGAAATAAAGCTAGGTCTGATAAGGTTCACTAAATCTAAATCTGAAAATCTATTTGAATTATTTGTTATATATTCGTTCAACATATTTTTCCCTACAATGTAAGCGCAGTAATTTGCATATAGGTAATGTATATGAAACTCTATACGCTATCAGTATTTAATCGCTTTGTTGTTCAAGTACATTTTATTTATAATTAGTATGCTCTTTATATCATCTTATTCGCAACTCAAATTCAATTCATATCTAGAATTATCAATACATATTATATTTTTTTTATAAAGTGCCTGATAATAGTTGCTTATTTATTAGCTTATTTGCACAATGTATTTCATGTTTTTAACTTTTTTCGAATTTACTGCATCAAATGGTTCATTTTTGTGATTATTCTCTTTATGCTAGACTTCTTTCACAATTTCATTTTTACTTAGTTTGTTATTTCAAATGCGGTAAAAATTCGAATTGTTAGTTTTCAAACAGCATTTTGTCGTGTTGTATTGTGTAATCCACACGATTCAACTAATATTCCTTTATTTGTCACGTGATTGTTTAACAAATATTCGGAGAGTTAACTGTTCTGCCCCCATTGTCATGGTCCAGTCAATCTTTTAGACCCCTATTTTAAGATTCGGTCAATTTAGTAAAAATTTTAGAATTTTTTTAAAAACGCCAAATGTTTAATCAAAAGCGCTCTCAACGTCGATCTTTTTGGGTACAGTTTTCAAGTAGCTCCTGAGCACTCTCAACCAAAATCCAGGCGAGAACCTTCGGGGAAAATGCTATCTCCCATCGCTCCCTTTCTTGTTGTCCATGCCATCAATTTCTGTCTTCTCTCAATTACAGTTAATTTAGGTGGTAACTTGAGTAGGTATCTCCTGGAAAGAAGCACAGCACAACCAACAAGCATGTACTTCCCTAAGCCACATATAATAATGATTTGGTGTCCTGCGAATCATTCTCAATCACGACTTGTAGATTTAAAGCATCATCAGTCTATATGTTCATTATTAAATAAAGTATTAGAAACAAGGAATTGGGTGTTGAAGTCTAAGTGTTGTATTAGTTATTGTCATTTTTTAGTTATTCTATTTTCATACAAAAACAACGGCTGTGAAGTAAGAACTGAAAGGGAACAGCAAGATACTAAGAAAGGCAGGCTACCAATGAAACAAGGTTATCAGATACGGCCACACCAGCTAATTGGTACAACTCGAACACCCCTCCCCCCTCCCAGAAGAGCCACTCAGCCACAACGTGGGATAGCATAATGTGTTACTGGATTTCATTGATGGGGACTGATTCCGCGGTAATGATAACGTTTGCTATACCCTTACCAGACCACGTGCTTGTATATTATCATACCATTGCCATGACCAGACACACATTTTAAATCATTTTGTGAGTGTAAATTTCCCGGAGGAGGGGTTCTTTGAATAAATTATGGTACGAAAGCTGAAGTAAAAAACGCGTAAAAGAGGAGTTATTTAGTTGTTTGACACGTGTACAAGTGTACCGTGTTAAGGGTCGAATATTATATAATATCAGAGGTACATAACTAATGTACTTCTGATAATATATAAATAAAGTGTACATTTTCCCTTGTCTTTGAGAAAGAACGTGTCTACAAAAAGGGGGATATTTCTCGGGCTGTCACCTCACATTTTTCCCGCAATAAACAAACAAAACACGAAATAAAAAATTAAAAAAAAAATCGTGACAAAATCGCCGAAGAATCGACAAGTTTGCTTTGTTTCGATGATTGTTTCCGATTGTTCTCCCGTCGGGCGTGCTTCCGGGTTCCGATTTCGTTCGGTAACTTAGAATATAGTAATAAAATGTGAAAAAAGAAATCTCATAAATTCATGTTACCTCAACTTGGAAACAGTATGATTTTAGTATGTATATAGGGTATCTATTTTAAGTTTCTGCACTTGAAAAGGTGTATAATTTCACAAAAATAAGTACGTGTTTAAAGGCGTTTTTGAAAACCAATATTTCAGCATGGGTACCAAGTCTGACTTGGAGTACCCCCACCCCCGGGGTAAATTCACATACATATTATTAGTAATATGGTAATACACATGGCTATACATATTACCTATCGATAGGGTGGGGTCAAATATAGTGCTTGTATTTCGTGGATTGAATGACAGAATTAAATTTCCGTAACAGGGTGGCGAAGATATTGCTTTATCAGTTTGATAAAATACATTGATATTCCTATGTTTGTATGTTTTTTTTTTCTGAAAAAATGTTGTTTTTGTAACCATAGACACGTAAGACATATAATTATGTCACTACTGGAAATTCCCGTGAAAGTCAAGGTTAAGACTGCATTAAATTTATAAATTATTATGCAAAAGAAAATATTTGGCAAAAAGTGTGAAAAGAAAGTCGAACATATCGATTGTAAAATGAGATACCAGGCAGATTGAAAAATCTGAAAATCGAAATCGATAAGTACTATGTATTATTAATTAATTACTGAATTTTATTCGCAGACAGAAGTAGGAATAAAAAATGTATGATGTTAAACACTCAGTCGTACTGATCGATTTATTCAGATTTTCAGTTCTCGCGTGACTTTGGAACTTTGCAAATCTTTAACTTATTCACAGCATGGAGGTAATAAGAATTCTTATTACCTCCATGTTCACAGTTAATAGTTACATATTGAAAAAAAAAAACATACATATTGAAAAAAAAAAACATCACGTCACTGGGGTATAAATACACTCGATCTTCTCAGTCCCTGAAACTCTAGTTGGTTCATCCCTAATTAGGGAAGTTGCTGAGAGTAAACACTAACGAACAAACCGACGCATGAGTGGGGTTGAAAGGTCATATCTAAATATTTGGCACGTTTGTTGCTGTTCCGGTGTTATTGTGTTGTTAACTGTTCAGTACTAAAGCAGGTAAGAACTCGAATATTTTATACCTTCTCACGGTTACTTACATAGTGTGGAGGGTAGCGATGAGATGAGAACATCAAATACAAGGCGTGGGGTGAACGCCGACGTCCGTATGTTTTGAGAACACAAGTTACCTCAACCTGTGTAAGTGTGTTCACGGGGCTGACGTAGACTTGACAAACATCGATCGGACGTTTTCGCTTTCCTATGTTAGCTGATTATTGAAATTCGGTATAATATAAAAGTATTTAGTAAGGCGCTTTTCTCTGAAATTGAGGTTTATCTCCAAAACGGATACTGGATAGACATTCTCACTCTTAGTCTTAGTGTGCTTAAAAACACTACAACAATGGGTTTATACGGCGAACTTGGACGTTACCCATTGGAGACTTTTATCGAAAAACAAATGATAAAATATTTTAATCGTATAAAGAACTCGTCAAATCCATTACTAAAACTAGCTTTCCAAGAAAATAAAGAAATTAACAGTAAATGGTACACCAATATAGATTCCCTTTTAAATAACATCAACCATTCTTACCTGATCGACAGCGATGAAACTATAACTGCAAGGGAATTAGGAGAAATCAACAAAAATATACAAACATCATTCATATCAACTTGGAAAAGTAAATTACATAATGACAATCGATCAAAACAAAATGAAAAAAATAAATTAAGAACATACAGAGAATTAAAAAACAATTTTGCTTTCGAAACATACCTTGTTACCCTGAAAAACATTGATATGCGCGAAAATTTAACTAAATTCCGCCTCAGTGACCATAACTTGAAAATTGAGACTGGCAGACACAAAGGAATCAATACCCCTTGCTAATAGATTATGCAACCTTTGTGATAAAAATGAAGTAGAAGATGAGTATCACCTCATGATGTCATGTAAAAGATATACCCCCGAAAGAAATGTCCTATTCGAAATAGCAAAAACCAAAATCAAAAACTTTAAAAATTTGGACACAAGACACAATTCATAGCCTTGCTAAACAACAGTGGCCTAACACTCCCCGTAGCAAGGTACCTAAAGAAGTGTTTTGAAATAAGACAGCAACCCCAGTGACAACCTTCTCTCACTATTTGAGTTTTGCATTTTGTTTTCTATCTATCGTAGTATCATAATTTTATACTAGCTATTATCTGTAATGTATTAGCTTAGATTTTTTTTTTTTTTTTTTTTTATCTATTTTCTGTTTTGTAACCTTTTATTCCTTTTTAAACTTTTGTAACCATTGCCAATCCCTCCGGGGAATGTGTAAGTGTTAATAAAATTACTATTACTATTACTATTGTCAATCAGTGCTTCATTGTTTGACATTTCTCAAATTGAATGTTTGAGACGCAGAGAAGACTAGACTATCTCCCAATCAGGAGAATACGATCGTATTTTTTCCATGTACGTTAATAAGATGGTAAATGTGAAGCCACTCTATGAATATACATAGTTTTTAATGTTGGGATTTTTTAAAAGTCAAAACATCTCCATATTAAATGTTTGCACCCAGTTTAAGACCTTTTTTTCTTCTAGTCAAGAAAAAACATGTTTTAAAAACAATATCTTTATTTTTGGATTTTGCATTGCTGACTTTTGTTGTCAAGGAAACCCATAGAGGTCATCATCTGGGGTAATTGCAAGTGGGGCATCATGTATTGTTATAGGTGTACACACCATAGATTTATACTTGGATTTAATGTACACTATAGTGTATAGGGGTATTGTCCGCCATGTGTCCCAAACAATACAGCACTGTACAGAAAGCTGAAAGGTTAAAGAGAAGATTATTTCCACTTGATTAAATCACATTTCATATATATATATATATAGTCAGCAGAGACAAGTGTAATTTCAAAACCAGTCTGAAAACACATTTCTGACAACCCAAGATGACAGAAGAAAATTTGTATTGGTTATTAACAAAGCATTATATGGCCAAATGAAATGAACATGGTGTTTCAGGTAACGGTCTAATTAAATACTTCGTGACTACCCTACCTTACCCATTCTAGGTAGGCAGGGATTTTTGTTTCAATTATTTTTTCATAATAATAATTTTAAAAAATGTTAGTTGATTTTCTGTATAAATTTGTCTTAGACAACCAAGTAATAATTTCATGGCTAATGGAGGCAAAGTGAATTTCTAATATTTTCTGTAATCTAACATTTTTTTTTTTTTTTTTTTCACAATTTAGATTTTAGCTTTATTTTATTTTCCAAGTTATACTTGTAGTGGGACACCTCCCTTTCAACAATAGGATTTGAAAATAACCAATGAAAATCAAAATTCTATTTCCAATTTTCAATTTTATTGACACTAAGGGAAATTTTCAGGTATCTAAATCGGTGACATTGGAGTCAGCCATGGGCCAACAAAATAATGATAGATCAATAGAAAGCGAAACAACAATGTTTCAGTCAATTCTTTATTTACATAATGACCTCGTGGGTGACGTGCAATGTACACTATAGAAGAGTAACATTTGACATCGTCTATAATAATAATTAATTGTCTATAATATGAGCCAGAATAACATTGAGAGATGTCTGAGTTATTTTCTGGCATGTTTTTTGTTTTGAGACAACATGTTGAGATTGTTACATAACTAGACATTATAAGTAAAGAATACAAAATCATAACCATTCTCATGTGGCGAATCAAATGATCATTAATCAACTGGTTGTTTGGCTATAGTTAAATTTTGAAATTTTATTTTCTGTCATTATTATTCAAAAGTGTTACCCTTGTTTGAAATTGTTGCTTCAGTGCTTGAAAGTGTTGAGTGATAGTTTATTTTAGGACTGGCGTTGAATTGTGCAATGTCACATTTTAGATTAAGTTTTTGAGCCTAAAAAACACTGATAACTGTGGTGCACTTTTGTCCGGTAACAAATTTGATCCAGTATGTACATACATGTACTTAGTGGGAAATGGTGCCATCGAACTAGAGATTAGACAAGGGATTTGACAAGGTGATGGCAAAGTGTGAAAACTGACTGGGAACATTGTAATTTGTGCTACATCCCCTCTTGTCTTGGCTTGCTGTCCAATGAGAATGTGCAAATAACTGAAAAGGCCCCCTAGCGATTCAATAAAATGAAATGTCCTCAAATGAAATAGGATTTTGATTTTCACCATTCGTTTGAAAATCCTAATGTTAAAAAGTAAAAATTACCATCACAGTCATACATGTAATTTTGAGAATTACAACTAAAATCTGAATTGTGATTACTTTACGCTAATTCCTCAATTGAAAGTATGTCAAAACCCAAAATCCTAGATTCCACAAAAATATTAAAAAATCACTTGGCCACTATTATTAAAAATGCTTTAAATTTGGACCACTTTTAAATAATTAGTTTTTAAAACTGGTTAAGTTTTTAGAATACAAAGTTGAGAGACAAACTGTTTGTCAAAGCTTAATCACAGCTGCAATGTTTAATGACCAAAAAAAAAAATATTTATTGCAGATTTATAATGGGAATGGATAGAATACATTTCATCTGTTTAATATTAAATCATGACAACTGTTTAGGTACTTACCACCAATGGGACATTTACTCCCACAATGCTTTGAGCCATCACAAATATTCGCAGAGTACCACACAGTATTTTGATTGGTTAATGACATTCTTGACTTGTGAGGTAAAAGGACTTGATAGGAGATCAACACATGATCAAGAAAAATGTAAAATTTTAACAAACTAAATTTTATGTCACTGATAGGAATATTATGCAATTAATATAATTTGATTGGCTGTCATTGTATATTTCACTTTAGGATGCCTGGTTCCAGATTTCAACTTTATTCTGTTATTGTGTTTGCTGTTGTTATTATTTGCTATCTGAATTCCTTGCAATGTGGATTTGTATTTGACGATGTCTCTGCTATTAAAGAGAACAAAGACCTGAGACCAAGAACTCCCATCATGCACCTCTTTCGAAATGACTTCTGGGGTACACCCATGCATACGGTAAGTTCTTTATTTTTTTTATTCCTTTTTACATTGCACAAACCACATCTGTATGCTTTCTGTAAAATGTAGGATTACAATGTATATAACATTATTATACTGTAACACCATACTGTAAGTTGCAGCGTGCCGTTATTTTGTGGTATTTTACAGGGTATTTTCATCCTACCACAGAAAGAAATGTGAATTCCAAATATGGAATGATTAGGCGCATAAGCGTCCTCTAATAATACAAACAAACATGGCTGCCACTAGGGTTTGACCGGACTCCACACAAAGTTCGCTGATTCTGTTCTAAACTTTTTGGATTTTGGCATTCCCATGATGTAGGAAGGAAAAGATGTATAATACCCCCCGGTAATAAGGTTATTATGAGGATACCTCAAAGTAGGCACTCAGACAGTATGTCATCGCATCAACCTTTTCTGCGCATTGGTTGATATTCCAGCTGTACTGTCTTCATGCATACTATGACAGATACCCCACACACTTCCCGTGGCTTTTGTTGCGTAGGGTTCTGTTATTATTACATATGTTTCATATTTGATTATTTCATATTAATGAAAGAACTGAGATGGAATTTAGGTCAGGGAACCCCATTGCCCATTAATATGTTCCAAGATAGCCCTAGTTTATGTCCTAGCAATGTGTGTCAGTGTAGAACGCATGTCACTGTCTGTATGAAAATAAAATAATCAGACGTCCATTTTGAGTCACTGTCCAAATAAATAACATTTAGTTTGGGCCAGGACAGAACCAGAACTTGAACTGGATGATTATGATACACAGTTTATTTTGAAGTTAAAAGTTCTCCACAGAATTGTGAATTGGCAAACATGCCATGCAACTGTGGTACTCCACTGACGGGAGGACTTGCGTTGACAGCGGTCGTCGCTGAGCTGCATGCTACAACTTTTTTTGTGATGTTGCTTGCTTGTCATGAGTCTTGGTTAAAATGTTGCTCATTTGGCGTTGGTAATCTTCATTTGGAACCGAGTAACGCTGCAATGTTGCCAGCAGAAACCTCCTGGTATCTCAATGTTGATAGTTCGGGCTCCATAGTAATCGCTGATTTTACTGTGGGTGGATCTTCCGAGAGCCCTTCAAGGTTTATAAAACTCAGTTTCCATGTGGTCAACATACACTAAGTTCTCCCAATCGTAGTACCGGTATTCCATGTGATGTACACCTAATATGCCAAAAATGTTGCTGAATGATTTGAACCGGATAAAAATAGCGAAAATGTGTTTACAAAATAAAAATAGTTTGGTAGCCAATGGAAATACCATGTTCATTTGCATATTGACCGTGAAAATACCGAAAACATTATTGCATGGTTGATATGCAAATTAGTTTTAGTCAAAATAAGTATCATTACTGTTGTTCAAATTTCATTTCACTCGGCAAGTATATTCATATACCCCAAAGGAAAAATATCGTACTTCTAAATATTGTTTATTTCTGCTATGTTTCGAAAGACGGTACTCCTGAAGGGACTACTTTGTTTGCTCTCAGACCTCATTTGCATATGGAGTGTGGAAATACCGATTTTGATTTAAGGGATGAATCAAAATAAACTGCAGTGTGTATGTAATAATTTGAGATATTCTCATAATAACCTCATAGTACTTGTAGCATATGCATTTATTACATAAGTTTCATTACATTTGGTGCTAATTTTGTTTGGAGCCAAGTGTTTTTTGGGTTGTTGACTGTGGTGTACTGATGTGCGTGTCTACTTACAGTGGCAAGGCACTTTGCTGTGCTCGCAAGTTCAAATCTCAAGTGCACATGTTTATGTGTTCGTAATATGCCTGTATCTACATTAATTATTATGCTGACTTTAATGATATCGTTATTTTTATTATTATTCTATACTTATTATAATTTGAATATTGAATGTGACAATACCAGGTATGGGTGCTTTGTTTGGATAACGCTGTAATTCATAACCTTATTTATGTACATGTACATCTTTGGCCAACTTCATTCAAACTGACATAACTTATAGTGTGCTGATTCGACATGGCAAAATCAGTCATTTCTTAACTGCATCTAGGTCATGCATGGATATATTTCATTCAAAACATTGAGTGACTTAACATCTTATTAAAAACAAAAAGAAAATTGTAAAAAATAAGGATCAACCTTATCTCTGAATCTTTTGTCCATTACTGCCTTGAGAAAATCAAGTAAATAAAATTAATGCTTGTGTGTCAAAGTTTTTATTAAATTCAAAATACTGCATATACAACAAGTATCAAAATGATATGAAATTTTTTTTTTAATATAAAATTTATAAAGTTTTTCATAAATTGAACCAATTAAAAGCTCTAAGGCTCTTCATGATTACCACAAATATGGCACTGTACAACGGTATGATCTTTGACCTATGACCCTTGATCCATCATGATATTTTCCATGTTGCCCAATAAGTATGATTCTCAATTTACTATTCTACACCAAACTATTGAGATAATACAACTTGTATTATGTATATCACTGTGACCAATTAATTTCTGGAATTTACCTCGGCCATGGTTATGCAAAAGAAACATAAATTCCTGGGTAATGTGCATTACCAAAGTGTTTCATTATTAAATGTAATCTCACAGAGGTCATGTCAATCTTGAAAAAAAAAATTGTTATTATTAAAAGCCTTGAATCAAGAAATTTTCGTTTTTAACAAAAGTTGTATTTTAATTAATACTAGTAAACTAGTAAAGTTGTTAGTGTCATTAGTTACTTGATGTGAATTTAACACCCAGTATTATAAATTCGTATTTATAAAATAGTAAGTTAACAAAAACAACACTTGTTAGTAACATTGTTAGTTTCTTTGGTTACTTAGGTTGAATTTAACACCCAGTAAAATTAAGGTAAATTAACAAAAACAACACAGTAAAGTTGTTATTTTATTTGGTTACATGATCAGTATAGAAATGCATGGTTTCTAAACACTTCAGAATGAAATTCAGAAAGTGACAGGTGTCCATAGATACACTGGACCTAATAAAATAGTGTTGTAAAATAGGTTAGAATAATTTTATTTTCATTAAATTTGTTGCAATTAAGTACTGTAAAATTGTTGCTGCTGCCTTGGGAGTATCTGTTGAATGAAAAGTAAGTGTAAATATATAAGTGTTGTTAAATTCAGTTAAGATTTTCAAAAAGATACTGAATCACCATGCGAAATCCAGGCAAGTTGGAGTACCATCAACATACTTTTTTTGGTTTTGTAGAACTCCTAATATGCTAATTAATTCCTCAGTCTCCAATGAAAAGTCAGAGGTGTGGTCTAATATGTTAATTGCCACCTCATTCTCCAATGAAAAGTCAGAGGTGTGGTCTAATATGTTAATTGCCACCTCATTCTCCTATGAAATTACAGAGGTATGGTCTAATATGTTAATTGACACCTCATTCTCCTGT